GCATGTAATATTTTTCGATACATTCTTTTCAACGACAAATTCTGATTTTTGGAAACAAAGAGTGTTAAGTAAAAGTAATTAGTTTGGCGTTTTCTTCCCCTAATTTTTCGGTTAAATCAAACAGTCTTTGTTTTTCACAAATGGTTTACGTAGTGTGCCATTAAGTTTTTCATCTTTATTCAAAGAGGACTGAAAATCGTCGCCAAGTTGTTCCACCATTTCAGAAGAATAAAGTTCTTATTAAAAAGTGAAAATGTCCAATTGCACCTAAAATTTGTAAAATCTTCTCAATGCTTCGAACACGTTTGCGCGTTATACTGATTCCTGTATAACTTCTACTAAAAGTTATTTCACCAGTACTAAATTTCATGATTAATATAAAAACGAGATCAACTATTTATTGCCATTATTTAAAGCCATTAAATTGTAAAAGTCATAATTTAATAGCTTCGTAATTATATAAATAGCTTTAAAATTATTATTTAATGTAACTTTTATGTAATCATATAACAATTGTCGAATTTATTTAATTATTATTATCATATATTTATAACCAGTATTAATAACTTATTTGTCATCACATTTAATTATGATCATTAAAATTATCAAAATTCTAATTTATTAACAAGCAAGTGTCTTCTGAAGATTTAGGGATCGTTAACAATGCGTTTTGACAATGTTCTCAGCTCTTAGAATGATTTTTTGAATTTCGATGATTGAGAAAAGACTGCAAGAGAGAGAAATTATTCTTCTCAGAAATGTGAGACACAGTTCACTGGAGAATTTATTTGCGAAAGGCTGGGAAAATATTTGACGACTCGGAGAGGCTGTGTATTGCGTTCGTGGAGGTGAAAACATAATGGTAATTTATACGCGAGCTGGGATTCTTGCTCATTTGAAATTTTTCTGAGCCGCTGAGGCCGCGATACTGAAGCATCGTAAAAGCACGATTTCAATGGAAATACCGTCCGATGTAAATGATTTCTTCGTCGCAGAGACGTAAAGATTAATATTATAATATATGAAGATTAATATTATGAATTG